GGGAGGGGAGGAAGAGAGTTAATGGTAAGCAGCCAGTATCCTCTGCTTCCTGATTCACAGATGCAGTGCAACCAACCGCAACCATGCCTCTTCCTTACCACGACAGGCTATGTGAGCCAAAAATGAACCCATCTTTCCCTTCCCTTCCTTCCTTCCTTCCTTCCTTCCTTCCTTCCTTCCTTCCTTCCTTTCCTTCTTTCTTAATTCAGCCCACTGTTCAGAGTAGGGTGAGTATTCTCATCTCAACCCAGTGTAGAACCTCCATCACAGATATGACCAGAGAGTTATCTCCTTGGTGTCTCTAGGTCCTATCAAGTTGGTATTCAGTATTAACTACCACAAGTCCATCCCTTACTAACTTAACTTTGTCTCAGTTAGATATTTTATAACAGCATTACAAAAAGTAATTAACTCAAAGATCAACAGCAAGGTTGATTCAACAGACCCTGATCTATAAACGTGATAGACTACACCAGTGCAACAAAGTGTCCCAGTTAGGGTTCCATGGCTGTGAACAGACACCAGGACCATGGCAACTCTTATAAAGGAAAACATTTCATTGGGCCTGGCTTAGAGTTTCAGAAGTTTAGTCTATTATTGGCATGGTGGGAAACACGGCAGCATGCAGGCAGACACTGTGCTAGAGAAGGAGCTGAGAGGTCTACATCTTGACTCACAAGCAGCAGAAGCAATTGTGTGCCACATTGAGTGTAGCTTGAGCACCTAAGACCTCAAAGCACATCTCTCCAGTGACTTCTTCCAACAAGGCTACACCTACTCCAGAAAGGCCGCACTTCCAAACAGTGCTATTCTCTATGGGCCAAGCATTCAAACGCATGAGTAGGCAATAGGGAATGGGGAAAGTAACACTACAAAGTGACTTATTTAACAGAACTTAAATAAACAACAGACCTTCATACTTTTTTTTAAATAGCTTCCAGTTTGCAACTACACCCAAGAGCAGATACTGTGCTCCAGCCCCCAACCCCACCCTGCCCACACCCAGAGACAGCTTGATTCCCCCCACCCCAAGAGTTCTTATACCACCAGGCTTACATGTGGTTTGCCCCAGCCTTAATACCTAACTAAACTAACCCCCCTCAACCCTCTTGGGGCACAGAGGACATGGGACCTCCTGTTCTGCCAGAGAGACACACCTTCCTTTCTGTCCATAACTATACCAGGGATTAGAACATGAGCTCCAGCACCCCCACCCTGCCCACACCCAGAGTCAGCTTGACTCCTAAGAGGTTTGCCACTGTCAGGCTCACAAATCAGGTGCACCAGACACCTCCCACAGACAGCCTGACCCAAGGAGGCCCAATATAACCAGGCTCACAGGAGGGACAGGCTCCAGTCAGAGACAGCAAGGCCAGTTAATACCAGAGATAACCAGATGGCAAGGGGCAAACACAAAAACATTAGCAACTGAAGCCAATGTCACTTGGCAACATCAGAACCCAGTTCTCCTAACATAGCAAGCCCTGGATTCCCTAGCACACCTGAAAAAAAAATTCTGATCTAAAATCCCATCTCATGAAAATGATAGAAGACCTTAAGGAGGACATAACTCTTTAAAGAAATACATGAGAATTCAGGTAAACAGGTAGAAGCCATTAAAGAGAAAACATATAAATCCTTTAAAGAAATACAGAAAAATACATTTAAACAGGTGAAGGAACAAAACCATCCAAGATCTAAAACTGGAAATAGAAGCAATAAAGAAATTACAAAGGGAGACAATCCTGGAGATGGAAAACCTGGGAAAGAGATTAGGAGTCACAGATGCAAGTATCACCAAAAGAATACAAGAGATAGAATAGAGAAACTTAGGCACACCTATCAGTAGAAGACAGTGACACAACAGTCAAAGAAAGTACAAAGTGCAAAAAGCTCATAACCCCAAACATCTAGGAAATTCAGAACACAATGAAAAGACCAAACTTAAGAATAATAGGTATAGAAGAGAGTGAAGATTCTCAATTCAAAGGACCAGTAAATATCTTCAACAAAATCATAGATGAAAACTTGTCTAACTTAAAGAAAGAGATGCCCATAAACACCCAAGAAGCCTACAGAATGTCAAATAGATTGGACAAGAAATAAAATCCTCCAGCTACATAATAATCAAAACACCAAATGCACAGAATAAGGAATATTAAACATTGCAATGGCAAAAGGTCAAGTAACATATAAAGGCATACCTATCAGAATTACACCAGACATCTCAACAGAGACTATGAAAGCTAGAAGATCCTGGGCAGATGTCAAGCAGATCCTAAGAGAACACAAATGCCAGCCCAGGCTACTATACCCAGCAAAACTCTCAATCAACATAGATGGAGAAACAATGGTATTCTATGACAAATCCAAATTTACACAACATGTCTCTACAAATCCAGCCCTACAGAGGATAATAGAAGAAAAACTCCAACACAGGGAAGGAAACTACACCCAAGAAAAACCGAGAAATTTATATTCTCACAACAAACCCAGAAGAAGATTGTCGCACACACACACATAATTCCACCTCTAACAACAAAAATAACAGGAAGCAACAATCATTGGTCTTTAATACCTCTCAACATCAATGGATTCAATTACCCAATAAAAAGATATAGCCTAACGGACTAGATATGTAAACATACCAGCATTTTGCCTCATACAGGAAACACATCTAAGTAACAAAGACAGACACTACCTCAGAGTAAAAGTCTAGAAAAAACTTTTCCAAGCAAATGGTCCCAAGAATCAAGCTGGAGTAGCTATTCTAACATCCAATAAAATAGGCTTTCAACCAAAAGTTACCAAAAAAAAAAAAAAAAAAAAAAAAAAGATGGGGAAGGACACTTCATACTCATCAAAGGAAAAATCCGCAAAGATGAATTCTCAATTCTGAACATCTATACCCCAAATGTAATGGCACCCACATTTATAAAAGAAACATTACTAAAGCTCAAACCACATATTAAACTTCACACAATAATAGTGGGAGACTTCAACACCCCACTCTTACCAGTGGACAGATGATGGAAACAGAAACTAAACAGAGGCACAGTGAAACTAACAGAAGTTATGAACCAAATAGATTTAACAGACATCTACAGAACATTTCACTCTAAAACCAAGAAATATACCTTCTTCTCAGAACCTCATGGTACCATCTCCAAAACTGACCATATGATTAGACACAAAACAAATCTGAACAGATACAAGAAGATTGAATTAATTCCATGCATTCTATCAGATCACCACGGACTAAGGCTGGTCTTCAGTAACAACAAAAACAAAAGGAAACCCACACACTCGTGTAAGCTGAACAACTTTCTACACAATGATAATTTGGTCAGGGAAGAAATAAAGAAAGAAATTAAAGACTTTTGAGAATTTGACAAAAACGAAGGCACAGCATACCCAAACTTATGGGACATAACAAAAGCAGTGTTAAGAGGAAAACTCATAGCACTAAATGCCCTGGTAAAGGAATTGAAGCAATTGCTACACTACCAGCTTTACAGCACTTCTGAAAGCTCTAGAACAAAGAAAAGCAAATACACCAAAGAGGAGTAGATGGTAAGAAATAAAACAAACTTGGGGCTGAAATTAACCAAGTAGGAACAAAGACAACAATACAAAGAATCAATGAAACTAGGAGCTGGTTCTTTGAGAAAATCAACAAGATAGATAAACCCTTAGCCAAACTAACTAGAGGACACAGAGACAGTATACAAATTAACAAAATCAGAAATGAAAAGGGAGACATAAAAACAGAAACTGAGGAAATTCAAACTATCATCAGATCCTTTTACAAAAGACTATATTCAACAAAACTGGAAAATCTAGATGAAATAGATGGTTTTCTAGACAGATACCAGGTGCCAAAGTTAAATCAGGATAAGAAAAGCCATCTAAACAGTCCCA